TCATCCCTTCTCCGACTACCAGGGACTCGATCAGCCATCTCTCCGCTGCGTCGGGCACATCCCTCCGCTCACCCCCCGCGTGCGGGGCACTCTGTACACCGGGAGAGCCGACCAGCAGCTCAATCCCGGGTAGAGGTGCCGCCGCCCGGGCCGACGTGCACCCTTCAAGCGGAGCGCCGCTTGGGGAGCACTGCCGTGGCCGTGGCGCTGGTGATGTCGGGACGTCAGCACGGGCGCGTTCGAGGGCTTGGCGATCTGTGACGTCAACCTGTCCAGCTGGAGCACCTGCTCCGTCAGCCGGAGCATCGGCCACCCCTCGATTTCCTGCTCCCTCAGCCTGACCACCTGCCCCCCCTTTAGTATTTGCTCCCTCAGCCGGAGCACCAGCCACCCCTCGAGTGCCTGCCATTTCAGCCTGACCACCTGCCCCTCCCTCTTGCCGCACGGTCTTTCGCCTCCGGATGCTGCGGCGCTGGCCGCCCCGCCTCCTTCTCTTTTTTGAAGGCGGTTCGGTACGCAGCGCCATGGTGCGACGACGAGATGGCTACTTTTGAGATCCTGCATTTATTTATTAGTGACCCTATTATTATACGATTACGTAACGCATATGGGACGCGTACACGCGCGTCCCATACGCGGTACGTAACCCAGCCTGCGACGCAGATGAGAGGGAGTCTCACGCACGCGCCCTCCGACGGGCCACGCGAATTCGTGACTTGTGTGTGTGTGGACGTGTGGTGACCTGTGTGTGCGTGTGGAGGCGGCCGAGTGGACGAGCCGCGTGGACGCGGTGGGGTGTACGTGGCGTAGCCCCTAGCTGCCCGCGTGGGTGCAGGGCAGCTGCGCGGCCAATGCACTTCGACATTCGAAGCCGACATTCCTGTCATTATTACAGAAATGATGAACTACTGGGAATTGCTTTTCAACTGAACAGTGAACGAAGCCTACGCGAATTGTGTTCATCGTTGCCGCACCTCACTCATTTGGGAAGGACCCCGCCTCGTGGCCTCCCGCGCGCCACTTACCGTGCAGGTTCCATCCAGACACCTCTTCCAGCAATCTCTGCCTTCGGCATCGACCGACCCTCGATACCACCACGTGCCATTCAAAGCCTTAGCTCGAGAATGCACTGCCATTATTGCGACCTGATTCTCAGAATGAGCCAGTTTGACTTCTTATCCGCCATACAGACGATATCGGTTGCATCCACACAGATCCTCCCTCCGTTGCTGTCATCGCCGTCATTAGCTGACATCGCAGATACAGCCATCGCGCTCAACCCGATCGTAACATCATTCTGGCTTACCCATATCCTCATCTTTTTGCAAATTGTCCTTTCCATCTTTTCGAGATCCTACGCCTGGAATGACAGCTTCTGGCCGTTTATACCACCAATTCTCTCCCTCGTCTTCACTCTCCACGCTCCGATTAGCTCTGATCGACGCACAGATTCACGTGTTGATCCACGCCTATCCCTAGTGTGCGGCCTTCTCATTATCTGGGGCAGCCGACTCACGGCAAATGCCATGCGTAGGGGCTACTACTCACCTGGCTTTTTGGCCCAGTAAAGTATGCAGATGTATATGGGATGTTTATTTGATGTCTATTAGATATTTTTGGATATATTTTGGATGGGTCCTGGATGTGTAGGAGATGCTGATCGGGTGACGGCCTGATACGTGCTTTAGGGACTGGATGTCCAAAGGATGCCTGAAAGATGATTAAATGCTGATTGGATGTTTTAAAGATTACTTTTAGATATTTATAGCATGAGGGCCACCACAAACTGCGTAGCTTTAAAGCATCTAATAGGAGTCAAAGCATATTTGAGGCATCCATGAGCTATCGACGGGGCCTCTTGGGCTTTTTGGCCTTGACTGGCTTTCCTCGCGGTGGGGGATTGAAACCTCCCTTGGAGCACTGGTATCGTTTCATGTGAAACGGCGAAAGGCTGTGAACAGCCAAAATAATGTTCTCTGATGTCTTCAGCCTGGAACCGCAGAATCCACAAGGACCACAACTTGCCTCCCGCTTCGCACCGTTCTCCGTCTTCCCCGGCTACGCTCGTCAGAATATTGAAATCCTCTTCAAGACCTATCCCCTCCGCCCGAGTTATCTTCTCTACCACTCACCGCGGATCACTCAAAACATCCCAAAAATCGTCGCCCAGCTGCGCCCCCTTCAGATGGCGGCACAAGTTGTCTCGAAAATACTCGTCCCCCGCCATATTCGTCTTCCAGCTTCTCCAGCAAACCCACGGCTGCGGTCCCTGCTTGTTCTCACTCTCGTTCCATCGCCATTCTTGCACAAGCTTTTCATGTTACCTCTTCTTCCCCCGATTCCCACATCTCTGTTGGACGTAATCGAGATGCAAATCGTGCAACGTGACTCCGGCGATCTTTTCACCACTTGACGCTCTATCCTTTCGTTCCACTAGACTGGCCTTCACGAAATCGTGCAGCACTCTTCTTGCCTGAACTTTCCCTTTCTGTCTCCATAGCAAACAAAGCACGCTCAACTGCAACCATCCTTGCCGCCGAATGTCCATCAGCGACTCGTACATCTCGGCGTAGGACATCACCCGCCTATTTTCTTCAATCTTTTTTGGATCCATCATGCACAGCGAAGCTTCAAACGCCCTTGACAGGTTCTTGTATATGTACGTCTCATCCGCTCTTTCGTGCAAAAGTCCTGACGGTGTAGCTTCTAGACCCTCCAAGTACTCATCAAGCACATCTTCCAGACTCAGTCCTTTCGCAATCTCACGATGTCTCGCAATCGCGATGCCAACCACTGACAGCGCAAGCGGAAGTCCACCGCAAAAAGCCAGTATCCTCTCTGTTTGATCCCCCAGGCCCTCAACCTCTTCACGTTGTATGTTAACAGACTTCAACAAAATTTCCAGAGAAGAAGCATCTTCTTTTGTAGAAACTTCGATTTCTTCGCTTCCCTCCACCACGCCCCACTCTCGCGCTGTGAAAGCTGTACGGCTGCCGTTCTCCACATCCACAATTTCTCTCAGTCTTGACATGGCATTACTTCCTATCATGGCTTCTCTCCAGACATCCTCGATAAGTAGCAAAATCGTCCTCCCTTTGGACCACTCTGTGACCCTCGAAACCGCAGAGTCTAACTCACTTTCTTCACGCACCGCCTTCGCCTGCATTTCCTCGTTTTGTCGCCCGAAACAATGCAAAAAAGAGGGAAAGAAGAAAAAGGAAAAAAGGCACCTGCGCCTGTCGCGCGCCGCCCATTGCCCGCCGCGCGCAACTCCCCGGCCCTCCCGCGTCCCCCCCTGCCCGCGTCGCTCATCCGCTCGCGCTCCACCCCGCGTTCCCTCCCCGCGCTCCCCCCTGCAGCAAAAGAGCGCGACAGCAGCAGCGGCCGCAGCACGCGACGGCGGCGATCGGCCCGATGATGGCGCGGCTCGGCTCTTGGCTGGGGCTGGACGGGGCTGCGGCGGGCGGCCCGTCGCCGTGCGCGCGCCCGCTGACGATCGG